GTGAGGCGACTATGTGCATGGAGAGACCTCATGGTAAGTTAAAATTTGTATATGTTCCCAAAACATGGCTAAAATTTAAGAATGGTTCTCCTACTCTAAGGATCAGTATTTCTCGACTCTGTTGATTGACTTGATGAATAGGGATGGCTAGTACTATTCACCTTAACACAAACAGAGAACAGGCAGGACATCATCTTTTTCCACCACACAGGCGTAATCTCCGTAGCCTTAAAACGCCTTGATTTTCTTATACAACAGAAATAATATTTGATTTTGCTTTGAGTATTGAGTTCCTGGAAGTTTACATGTAGTTGACATATTTTTATCAGAAAACTTATTTATTTATTTGTTCATATAATTAGTTTGGTATTTCATTGCTAAAAAAACGGAAGTTACATTGGTATTTCTATGTCACATTGGTTGTGATATTAATCTTCTATTACCACCTTAAGTTTTATATCCCTAATGAACAGACTCATAATTCTTGAGGTCTACATTTTACTGTAGAGTTTTAAAGGTATTCCACAAGGAAATTGCTTATAGGTTGATTGGTTTGTTTTGCTGTATATTCATCTTTCCAGGCTCGCGTCCATGATGAGAGCTTGAAATATGTATTACCAGACCAGTCAATTGTTGCTTTGGCAAATCAGCCTCCGGCAAGTGACTCGGAAATATGCAGTGTCATAGCTCAGGCTGATATAAATATAGAAATGGGTGTCAATTCCATGTTCTCTTCTCCATCTCCTATCGTTGGCAGCCACCTAAGTGATGTCTATGATTTGCTTACAGACAATTTAGGTAACACCGAAGATATTTATTCAGTAATTCTTCAGAAGTGCCTTGGTCCAAATGGGAGTTGTCCAATTTCTCTTTTTAATTATTCTTTGTTGGTTAGCAGTAATCTGAGACCTATGATAGCCTATAAACACCATAGTGTAAGAAACTCAAAACAAGTTTCTCGGAAGGCTTCTCGAGATTTGTTTGTTCAGAAATTCTCTTGTAAATCTCCTGTTTATCATAATTGTCGGATTTATGCTAATGATGGGCGGCTGCTTTGTTACTGTGACCGGAAGAAGCTTGAATGGTAGGTGCACTTTTCACTTGCTTCTGTTCTATTTGTAAAAGAAGTCGTTTTGCTGATTCATCTTCTATTTTACAGGTACCTCAGTCGGGATTTGGCAAAACTAATTGATGAAGATCCACCTGCTATAATGCTTCTTTTTGAACCAAAAGGTCGCCCAGAAGACGAAGACAATGATTTTTATATCCAGAGCAAGAAAAACATATGTGTTGGCTGTGGTGAAGGAAATCACTACTTGCGGTACCGGATAATCCCATCATGCTATAGAATACATTTTCCTGAGCATTTGAAAAGCCATCGTTCTCATGATATTGTCCTGCTTTGTGTGGACTGTCATGAAGTCGCCCATGCTGCTGCAGAGAAATACAAGAGAAAGATAGCAGCTGAATTTGGGATTCCTCTCTATGTTCAGAGGGTAATTGATCCAGGACGAGCATCTGAAGTAGCCTCTGAAGAGGGAGGTGTTTCTCCCTTGCAGTTGCGAACGGCTGCCATGGCTCTTCTGCGCCATGGACCAAGAATGCCTCCCAATCGCTGCGATGAACTGACTGAGGTATGATCTCATTTCTGTCTGTAAGCATTTAGTAAGATTCATGGTTATCACAGACCCTACATGATGACACATGGTCTTTTTGAGTGTTCAAGCGTGATTTCTAAATTAGGCTCTCTTTTTTCCTTGATTTATATAGTTATTAACTGATTGTGATTGTTTAGAAAAGTTCTTAAACAGCTTTTTTTTTTTAAAAAAACACTAATCTATAAGCATGGGTATTTGACATCTTTGTGATTTTGTTTGCAGACTGTGAAGAGGTACTATGGAGGAAGGGAGATATCTGAGGAAGATTTGGAGAGAGCATTGCTAGTTGGCATGAGTCCACACGAGAGAAGACGATTTGAGAAGAAGAGAGGATATTCATTTAAACATTTAAGAGGTGCTGCTATGGAGACAGTACAGGAAAATCATGGTGATTGCTCACCCACAATGGGAGTTCTGGACACATCAAATTTAAATGCTCTGGATGGTTCATCTGCAAATAAAGCAACAGGCAATGGAGAAAGTAGAGAGCTTATTACGGTAAAGGATGATGCTGGAAACCCCAATGCATCTTCTGACGCTGGAGTTAACGGAGCTGCCTCTGCTATCTTAACTGAACATGTGAGCACAGATAAAAATTCTGGTTCTAATGAGTTAAGTACCTCTGCTGTAGATCCCGATGATAGCTGTCTAAGCAGAAGGGCTCCAAATGGAATTGATGACTTATCCCCTAGAGATGAAGAGTCTGCTGAAGCGAAACATAATCCAAAACTGTCACTCTTAGGACATGGACCACATGGAAAGCAAGTTGTTGAACATTTACTGAAGGAATATGGCGAGGATGGCATTCGTCAGTTTTGTCAGAGATGGAGACAAGTTTTTGTTGAATCTGTCAAACCACGGTTTCTACCTGCTGGCTGGGACATAAATCACAGGTACTTTAATTATTAGATAATGATCTGTTCGTCTGCTTAGTTAGTAGCATAAATTGTTGAAGTGGCGAGCATTTAGTCTAGAGGTGTATTTGCCTCATCTTGAAATTGTGGGAATACACAGTTCTAATTTAAGAATGTCTATTGTTTGTTGCACCGTCTTCTCCCCTGTTATTGCTTCATCTGCTTGGAACTATCCCATCAGTCGTATCTCATGATGTGTTGCTGCAAATGCTTCTGAGTTACTGTTTTGTTCTTATAGGATGCTATCGTTCTATCTCAATTTGCAGGCTGCAGCAGGTGGAATAGTTCATTTTCTTTTTTTTTTTTCATTCTCATTTTCTTTGTATTTCCCCCGCTTCATAGCATTCATGATTGGGAGCAAACATGCATATAATTCCAGTTATTCATGATGCGCTTACAATATGATGCCTAGCAACTGAATTATTATTAACCATTTGTTCCAAGGGTTTGACGACGGACAATGTTTTTGCCAGTGGCAGAAGGGATTTCGGTGAATTCAGTGTCTACAATCCGCTCAGACAGACATCTGCTGCTGGCACGTGACTTGCAACGACCTTATTTTGGGACCTCCGATGCTACTATTTGTTCGTATTTGTTGCCCTACATTCTTGCCACCTTAGGTTATTTACAGGGGCGGAACTTTGAAATACGATGGCAAGTTGTACAAATTTCTGTGTCCTAATTGCACGTATCAGTAACTTGATATGGGAACAGGCTACACCGAGTTAGGCTTTAGCATCTCAAGTTCTGCCGATTTAAGTAAATGAGTTCAATCCGTTTGTACTATTTACATATAACCATCTTTAAATAAGCATGTTTAACGAGTTAGATAAGATTTTATTCCATCAAGCTCAAGATTTGCAGCCTTGGCAAATTTGGAAGGAGTGTCAGGAGAGCTTCTAAAGAGGATGGAGAGTTCAAGATGATTATGGGAGCTCAGACAAAGGAAAAACTTTGGAAGTAACACATGAGGGAACGTCTAGAGATAGCAGGCTAGCGTTATGTTTTCAATTTCTCTGCCGAGGGGTTGAAAGAGGAAAAGAAGCAAGGTAGAAGTCAAAGAAACGATAGGCCTAACTCTTATGTAGCCGTCTAGCCGATAGCCATTGAGCTAGTCGAGGTAAAAGAAATGTTATTAGAGGCTGGGATAAGTTCACCGATTCAGAAAAGAAAGCCAATTAATTAACCATGTCCATAATGATCTTGGGTTTGTTTGAAGTTCTGTAACTTTAATCCATTCACACGTTATTATAACATGATATATGAAACATACGGACAAATGTCATATTATGAATCATCTCGATATCGTCTTATTTTTAGGTGTCTGGAAAAAATCTTTTTTAAAAATACATTTTTAAAAATTGAGATTAAATTTTTTCTGTAAAAATATTTTTAAATCTATACCTTGGTTTCTATCCAAATACTGATAAAATCAAATCATAATTTTAAAAATACTTTACGACATACAAAATAAGTTTATAAAAAAATTGCCTTGTTTTATAAAAAAATACTTTTAGAAAAACACTTTTGACAACCAATGGATCCTGTGAGCAAACGAGCTTGTTAGATAATCCTTCTTTTTTGTAAATTTTATTCCATTTTATTTATTAAATGAACTTTCCAAGTCCGGCCACGTAGGCTAAAAGTTAAGATTGGAGACAGTAATTGCTTGCTATGTTTCATTCACAAACAGTAAACACCCTCCAAGGGCATAGGCCATAGCTCTTTCCTTTCATATCAGATTTATCATTTATGTTCCCAAATCCCGATCTAAGGAGCAATCAAAACTAATAATCGCGTGGAAATAACTTCAAGGGAGAATTACAATTAGATCCCACCTAAAAGAATCAAATACAAAAAGATTTTTTAAAATTATGAAATTATTCTGAAGTTCTAAAAAATATTTTTGCAATAAATTTTATTTATTTGATTATCAAATTACTCTTTTTTTTTAGTTTACATTAACAACTAAAGAAATAGTTGTTGATAATTTAAAATGTCAAAATTCACAATACATTTTCTTAACATATCACATCCTAAATTGTAAAACCAGTCATTATAAGTTATCAACTCTTTCAGTTATCAATATAAATTTTTTTAAAAAAAACAATAATTTAATAATTAAACAAATAAAATTTATTGTAAAAATTTTTTTTAAGACTTTAAAATAATTTTATGATTTTAAAAAAAAATTTGTATTTAATTTTTTTAGGTGAAGCCTAATTACAATTTTTTCTAATTTCAATGCACAAAATTGGGACTTCTGCAATTTTATTATTAATCTCAGTTCTCTATGAGTATTTTTTTGCCATACATAATTCGAAGAGCCAAGAGGGCAGGGCCCGGACATCTACAAATGTAGATAGACTTCTCTGCATTCTACAACAAAAGAATTGCCTCAGTTTTTCAACAAAAGGGACAGCCATAATTAATTAGTGACAACAACGTCATTATTAAACGAATCGGTGATGAGATCGGGCAGATTCAGTGTTAGATTGGAAGGGGCAGCGGCAACAGACAAAACATACTTGGAGGCCACGAGCTTCTTCCTTTGAGGGCACCGTGGACCGTAGGTCCTCCCGGCAAAGAGAGGGGAACCCTCGGCGACGTTGATCTGAGGCTGACCATCAGTCGAACGCGAGGAGGACGGCGGTGAGTTGGGGCAAAGAGAGATCTGGCAGAGGGAGCTAAGCCGGTGGGATCGAGCACTGATTCGGGAGTCACGGATGCGGGCGAGAGCTCCGGGTTTAAGAAACTTGTGAAATTGATCAGCTCTTCGCAACTGAAGATCTCTAGTTCTGATCATGATGAAGAAGAAGAAATAGAGAAACTAAAATTGAGAAGTGAGAAGATAAGAATGGAAGTGAGTGAGGAAGAATGAAGCTGAAGAAGGGGTTTGGGGGGATTTTAATAGAGAGAGAGGCGGGAAAACAAGTGGAGGGAGAGGGAAGAGGGAGGGAGGCCATGTGATGCGTCAATGGTTATGTGAGAGAGAATTTTGTTTCGAAATAGGGGAGAGGCGCGCGAGGGAAAACGAGGGAGACACCCAAATAGGGTTTTGCCAGACAAGTGACGCGTGTCCTTTTTTGGTTTTTGGGGGGGGGGGTGGGGGCCTTTTTCTCCGCTTTTGGCGACGGTGAATTTCAAGATTAAGAGCACGCCATCAAATTAATTTCAATTAACTTTAATGAATCATTCTCTGTTTCTTCAACTACACGCATTGTTTGCCGCCAATAACGACTGAAAAAACTTACCCATTGTAATTATTCTTGGCTTTTCTTTTCTTTCTATTGCCTTTTTAAATCTTTAAATTAAACTTAAAATGCTTCAATTTCACATATAAAATTATATTTAATACATATATATGTATAAATTGAATTGTATCTGCTGTTGTTTTATCGCACTTACTTAGATCGGGATGGAATAATGAAATTTTCAAGCACTGCTTGTATGTGTGCGTGAATATATTTATGTAAGGAGGGGCTTTAGTTAAATGAATATATAAATAAATCTAATCGAATTTGAAACTAGATGTATCCTGGCGATGCTCTATAGGCAGTGGCTGGATAAGAGAATTATGGTCATGAGGGCAAGGGGAGAGTAAAAGGGAAATTACAAAATGATTGTTTTGGTGCTATGAACAGCTCATCTCTCTCAAATTCTTTTAAAGTTGTAAAAAATAATTTTAAGATATACAAGATAACCGTGTAAAAAAAGTTTTAAATTGATTTGCATAAAAAAATTTTAAAAAGCTAAATCAGACATCCTGAAGATTTTTCTACAAGTGAATTTGATCTGGTTTGTAACATTGAGTTATTAGTATATGTGTCTTTAATTGTTTTTTTAAAATACGTCTAAGTTACTCTCCCGCACCCATGTGAAGCCATGTTTATGTGATCAAAGCACCCTCATGCTTGTATCCAATTTTAATTTCACTCTCGTTCTTCCTACAAAAAGAAAAATCTCCATAAGATGGATTGGTAATGGCGATAGGCCTCTGTGGGCCCAACACACAGATGCTCCAATTTTTTCCCTGTCTTTAGGCCAAGATCAGTAGTTATCTTGATTGGATGATTTTGAATATGCATAAGACGTACAGGCGACGCATGTCTTTCAAAGATCACAAAATTCATTGGCCGCCCAGACAAAATAAAGGACAATTCGTTCTTGAACAACACATAGAAACCATGAACATGCTGAAAGTCACAAAGGCTCAATCCTTTTACATTCCTCTACTTGTCAAAAGTTGGAGCTGCTATGGTTCATTATGACAAGGAGCTCACTATACATCAAAACGAGAACCAAAAAGGAAGATGGTCATTGTTTACAAGAGAGTCAGATTTTTTGGTGACTAGTTATATCACACTACATACTTCATATTCACAACTGATCCTCCGGTATGCTTTCTAGAGTTGGCCTCCAAGCATTTATGGCTCCGCCATCATCTTCTGCAATAACTTGACAAGTTCTGCCTCTTCCGCTCAGTTTCACAGAACTTAGTAATTGCTCCAGCGTTGTGTGCTGAGACTCCTTCTCATGCCTTAATATCCTCTTTAACTCTTCCTGAGTCACCACCAGTTTTATCCTCACAGATCCACTTCTTCTGCAAATCTGATCTTTTCTTGTTTCTTCATCTTTCTGCAACTCAAACCTCACCTTCTTCCCTATCTTCTTCTTCTTCTTCATGCTGCTTTCTTCAGGCGGCATTGCAGCAGGATCAGACTGATCGAATGAGGAACCAGATGAGATCGTCTTTTGCTCAACTTCTAATGAATCACCGGGTTGCTCGTCGTGTAGGTCGTCATCGTCTTGGGCTGATATCTGGTTGTTTCTGGTGATCAAACAGTTTCCCATGTGTGAGTGATGAAGAAATTAAAGATGGCAGAGAAGGAGAAATATGGGAAGCATATAAATACAGAATAAGCACATGGATTGTCCTGCGGTTGCGCCGGGTATATTTGACATAAATAAAGCGAGATTCTCTCTCTCTCTCTCTCTCGCTCGAGACCACCACCATCCTTGTATCCAGCTTTTTCATTTGATACCCTTTTTGTATTTTAGTCTTCACTTTTATTGTTATTTTAATTAATTCTATAGCCGTCTGTTACCTTTCCCATTAAGCTCTCATTTTGCGTTATTTTCAGCCATAATTAATGAAGACCCATCTTCTTTTGTGAGAGCTACCTTTGGTTATTGACAAACAAATAGAGAAAGACAGAGGTAGTGAATCGATCGACGAAACACGAAATTACGTAGTTTCCTTTTATAAAAAAAAAAAAAAACCAAGATATAGATCATGATAGCACATTATTGGCCATTTCTATGCAAATTAATGAAGCTTGAGTTGAAGAGATTGCATTTGGACATTACCGCGTTATCGTCAAAAGATTAATATATATAAAATAAATAAGAGAATAGTCCAAGAAGTAATTAAGCATGTTTGATTATTGATTACATGTAAAAACAAACCGAAAGAAAAAGATAATACGAAAGCCCTCTAATCACTGCTCAAAATCCGGTTCATCTCCCTCGGCGTTATTCAGCACCACTACATGCACGGCTAATTCTTGCCTTGATTCTCGATGACACTGTTTTATCACTTTCTTCAATTCCTGTCCCCTTCTCGCATTTTACTCCTTCCAATCTTGTATTGTAAGTTACAATTTTTAGGATAAGGCCAATCTTTTTTAATAAGTTACACTTTATATATATATATATATTTAAAAATTATATTTCATTCTTTCTTTTGTGTAGACTCCCTCGGATCTATTTCTTATTCCTTTCCTATCCCTCTCTCACCCTCCCTCTTCGTAAATAATGGTGTCTTATTTGAAGGGAAAAATTCTTACATATTTATTGCTTTTAATGAATTTTAACTAAGTTTTTATTATGTATAATTCAAGTATTTATGGATATGGTATATATAAATAACTTAATTCCGTCATGTTATGTGTGAGCCGTTGCTTTTTGACTGGCGGAGAATTAGCTTGATGTAATCGTAATCTAGCTCTGGTTTTAATTTTTAATGGATATATTGATGTGCGTTGTACGTATAATATGATAGCCAAAGGGGGAAAGATCGAAGCTTGTTGTTTACACTGCCACGTGGACATACATGATGATCTGAATGTAGACTGTTCAAAGCTGGAGTGCACTTCACTTAACTCCGTCAACTCCTACTTCACGTGATTAACCAGGTTTCGTAGGCATGTCCATCGAATCAAACCATAAGAGACGTACATACGTTTATATGTTACAAATGAATTAAATCAAACAAAAAGTGAACATTATTTGTTATTTGATTTTCCAAGGACTGATAAAAAATTCAATTTGATTTTGAATGCTGAAGGCTGAAGCTGCGTAATTCTATTAACTTGTTTCAGATGTTCCCGGCGGTATTCATCGTTCCTGGGGCGTTCATGTATTATTATTATTTTTTTACAAAAAAATTAGTTGAGGTGGGTTCTGAAAACTCAAAAAGTACTTATAAAAGTACTTACAGATCGCCTACTAATAAAATCCTCACATCTATAACAGGATCTGAACTCACGACTTTGTGAGCTATAAGTTGACTCTTTACTCCTATTGATACGTTGGTACATAGTTTGGTGGCACTGATGATTGTATAGTGTTCATTTATTTGTTGGGCCTTTGGGCTTTAGGGTTTTCAAAATTTTTTTTGGTTAAGCCCGGGCTATCCACCATTAACAACAATGACTAATTATCTTGCCCTATTTATCATTTTTCTTGTTTGTTTGCTGTTTTTTTAAATTTTCTTTACCTTTTTTTTGGGTAAAAATTTTCTTTACTTTTTGTTTATTGCTTTATGTTGAAGTTGTTTTTTTAAAATCTGTCATTTTATTTAGTTAATAATGAAATTATCTTTCTTTTAAAATAATCATATCCTGGTTAAGAAATATCTGCATGTTCGCTAATATCTGTCATTTTATTTCCCCCTCTCGTATATTATTTTAATTTAAGTCCGTTGAGGCATAACTGTGAGAATATATAAAATAAAAGAAGTCAGTTATGCAATGAATGTGTTCATGAAATACGCAGAAGAAATAATTAAATTCGATTGTGTGAAGGGCAATCTAAGGCCAGGGTCAAAAAAGTAAAAAAAGGAGCAATCTAAGGCACCAAAATAATAATAGATGATGATGGCTTATATATATAAATTATTTGGTGGCAGAGGCTACCGCGTGGAAATTGGGTCACTGCTTCCTATTTCGCATTTTCTTCCATTACCTCAATACCTTCATTCCACAAATAATCCAATCTTTTTTCCCCCTCAAAACTCCGTTTATTGTAATTAATTAATACTACTTACGGTCCTAAATATAAGAGCTAATTGACTAATTTAAAAAGATTAATAAAATAAGTTAAGTTAGTTATTTGTAATAAATAGGTATTGTTAATCAAGTATATTGGCTAGAACTATTATTATTAAAAAGATTACCTTAAAAAAATTACATAAATATGAGAGACAAAATAGACTGGGATTTTATATTTAGAACCAAAATAAAAATCAAATATTTTATATATCTTATATTAAGAACCGGAGATAGTAATTAATTTGAAGAATGCCCGTCTAATCATTACAACCACAAACTATTACGTTATAAATGCAATCTACTCTCTAGTGAAATACTCCAAACCAAAACGGAAAAAATTAAAAGAGAATATATATATATATATATATATATATCACGCATGCATGTGTGTTGAAAATAAAAAAATAGCATTAATTATGGATACATTTAATTTTGAACTATTTTTATTTGTCAAAGTAATAATGACGTGGCACTTTAGAGTGTCTGAAAAGTTGTTTGTAAAACAAAATTAGGATCAACCCATGAATTTTTTCCCTAAGATCGAGAACGAACCGGTTTGATTTGCACACGTCAACTAATCATCCAAAATGCTCGCCTTATCAGGCTATAAAGAATACGCCTTAGCTTGAGGGTTGGTTTTTTTTGTTTTAATTTAATCTAAATTTCATTGCTAAGGATTCTGGGCTTTTTTAAATCTAACGTGTGTGTACTTGTCCCAAAAATGAAAAGAACAAATATGGCAACGCCTCATTCAATTCCTGATTCATGTTTAAGGCCCAACTCTATCGTTTGGGCCAAATCGTACGAAGATAGAGGCTGCCTGCTAAACACAAATTGTTCACCGATGAAAAGTTACACGAGCATCAATAGAGATTAGGTTTAACAAATATTTTATAACGTGCTGAATCAAGATTCGAATCCTATTAAGAGAGGTTTTTATATTTAGTCTCCGTAAATGTCTTAAATAAGATTGCTTCCAAAATACCTATGCATAACGAAAAAAAATAGCTACACCATTATTTGGCGTATAATTTGATTATTTGTCTTCGGAATCAAAACATGGAGGCTTGGTTGATTATCAGATGAAGACCTCATTCTTGTGTTGAATTTAAATCCACACCCACTTTTTTTGTCCATTTCTGTTCCAAATGCCTCGCCAAGCAATCACATAGTCACCATGGCTGCTTTTTTCTTCTTTTTTTTTTTTTTAAATACAAGAATGGCTGCTATTTATGAACAAACCCTATTCCGAGGACTCTTCTTTCCTTCTTCGTTTTGCTTTTTTTTTTTTTCGTTTTGGTATCACTCTATCAGAAGATATACCTAAATTTAGATTTTTTTTACTAGTAAAAGCTAATTTAATATTTTTTTTTAGTGCAAAGCTAATTAAGCACAATAGTTTCTATTAAACTATAACTTGTTTAACATAATTTTAATGAATATGTCCCAAAACATATATATAATGCACATGCTAGGTGAATAAAAGGTTTTGGCCAAAAAAAGGGTGAATGATTAGCTCATTTGAAAAGTGATAATAACATATTCCTAATCACATGGGGTATGGAGCATAATAAACAAAGTTAAATTTAAAAATGCTAATTGATGGAATACAGTAAACAAAATTAAATAATTTAATGAAGAAGGAAGGAAAGGGACACCTTACTTGAATAAAGTTTGTTGATATAGAGTTAATTAATGGAGCATAATAAGCGAAGTTAAATTTAAAAATGATAAATTACATCCTAAAATAAAATATTTTGTCAGCTTGACCAGTTAGGAGCCAGTATTACTTGTTAGAATATTCATATATAACTTATATAATACTCTTCTAGTTCTAAATATAAGACCCATTTTATAATACAAATTATATTACAAAATGAGTTTTATATTTAAGACTGGAGGAATATTTTTCTTCATCAGTTTCTCGATTTTTTTTTTAAGCAGCCAGTTTGTCGATTTTTGATTTAGCAGCCAGTTAAGTATTATAAAAAATAGATATATAAATAATGTACTGTCTCACATGCTAAATCCATGAACTAACTCATTGTGGGGGTTGTTTTCATTCTACGTGTAAGGCATCAATTGCTCTTCCCTTGTACTATTTATTAATTTTTTTCTAAATATTTTTTGGATTTTATATATTAGCTCACTCCTAAATATAAAATCTTTTTTTGTAATACTACCTGCGGTTCTAATTATTAGAGCCAGTTGACTAATTTAAAGAGATTAAAGAAGTAAGTTGAGTTAGTTATTTCTCATAAATAGGTGTTGTCTTTCCTAATATATCCTTGTTAATCAAGTGTATTGACTAGAACTACAATTATTAGAAGGACTATATTGAAAAAAATTGAGTAAAGATGAAAGACAAAGTGGATTGGGGTTTTATATTTAGGATTAAAATAAAAGTCAAATAGGGTCATATATTAAAGATCGGAGTTAGTATAATTTATATTGTAAACAGAGATTTATACTCAGGAGCGGGGTACTATATAGATCTTCTCCTCCCGTTGCAGATGCATC